TCTTCCTCTCAAAGGGGAAAAACCCTTTTATATATAGATATAAAAAGCATATGGATCATTCTAAATGTAGTCTTTGTTAACGTCACAGTTACTATAGTATTCCTACAGTAACTATAGTATTCCATTATATTTTTACATATTTTTTTTCTTTAAAAGGAATTCAAAACTCTACAAAATCCATATCTGTTTTCATGTATAACTTCCATTTCCCTATATAACTTTCTCTAATGAATGTGTTTTAATGCATCTTCTAATATATGGCGTTTTATGAATCTTTGGACAGAGAACCATAAAAGCCAGCACATGCTCTTTACCACTTTTCAGTCATGTTTTGATTGTTTATACCATTTCAATCCCAAAGTAGCCATTGCTTTTATATCCTAAGTAATTATGTCTATATAGATACAGGTTTAGATATTGTTATATGCATCTAATTTAACATGCAGATCTCTCCCTCCCTCCCCCCTCTGGAATTTTATGTTAACTAATTCAGATGTATGATTTTCAACTTGCAAACCTAAATGAAGCATGCGTTCAACTAATGACATGTAATCGTGTTGCTCTAGATATCTAAAAGACCCCCTAATGTCAACATTAATGTGGTCAAGTCAGCCTGCCAAGGCTGTTTTTCACTCATGCAGAAGAATTAGATGACAACTGGGACTCCACATAAAACCACATCAGCAGGAAAAAAAAAAAAAGGAAAAGATGTTGCACCTTTTTTTCTGCTAACTAAACGTGAACATTAATGGAAGAAAATGTTTTCTGACAGGATAAAAACATTCCCTTGCTTATTTTGCAACAAATGCATGTTCTTATCTCTTTTTATGTATTTCTGTCAATTATTTAAATTTGTATGAAAAGCCAATTCAAAAACGAAGCCCGGTGCAACGATAAGTAATGTAAGCAACTTTTGCACATTGTTATAATAGATTTAATTACATGTGATCCAACATACAATAAACAAATCCCACTCTTGAAATAAACTAAGCATTTTTTGCCTGATTCTGGTACACAAATCACAGACTTAAAATAACAGATACCTGCTACAGGCAACTTATGCTCTAAAACTGGAACAGCTGCATAGGTCAAAATTATATAGAACATATCTAGCTGGGATTTATTTTATTTTTTATTTATTTATTTGATTTGTCAATCGCTTACAAGATAATAGGTATAAATATAAACATAAGAATACAGTAAGAATACAGAAAATAGGTACAATTAAATGGGGACAATAGGACAGGGAGGCACGATAGTACATTTATGTACGCCCCTTACAGACCTCTTAGGAATGGGGTGAGGTCAATAGTGGATAGTTTGAGGTTAAAGGAGTGGGGATTAGAAGATGTAACAACAGTCAGGTAGTGCATTCCAGGCATTGACCACTCTGTTGCTGAAGTCGTACTTTCTGCAATCGAGTTTGAAGCGGTTTACATTGAGTTTGTATCTGTTGTGTGCTTTTGTATTGTTATGGTTGAAGCTGAAGTAATCATTGACTGGTAGGACATTGTAGCAGATAATTTTAAGTCTAATCATAGGCGGCGTAGTTCAAGGTTGTCCAAGCCCAGAATCTCAAGCCTGGTGATATAGGGTATTCTGTTGCGAGCAGAGGAGTGTAGTATTCTTCTAGTGAAATACTTCTGGACTCGCTCAATTGTATTAATGTCCGATATACAGTGCAGATTCCAGACTGATGAGCTGTATTCGAATATTGGTCTAGCAAAAGTTTTGTATGCTCTAGTTAGCAATTCAGTATTTCCGGAGGAGAAGCTTCATAAGATTAGATTTACAATTTTTAATGCCTTTTTGGCAATGCTGTTACAGTGAGCTCTGGCGCTTTGGTCATTTGATATGAGAACTCCAACGTCTTTGACAGAGTGGGGATCATCAATGAGGTCATATCCACCTAGTTTGTATTTGGTGTACTGATTTTTTTTACCAATGTGTAGGACAGAGCATTTGTTGGTCGAGATTTGGAGTTGCCAATTGTTTGACCATTCAGACACATAATCAAGGTCATTTTGAAAGATAGTAGCATTGTCGATGGTGTTGAATAGTTTTACGTCATCCACAAAGAGGACACAGTTGCTTATAAGGTGATAGCAAAGGTTATTAATATAGAGCATAAAGAGTGTGGCTCCTAGAACGCTGCCTTGGGGGACACCGCTGTTAACTGGAGCAGGGTTTGATATAGCATTCCCTATTTTTAGTATTTGTTGCCTGTTTGACAGGAATGCAGTAATCCACTTACGAAGGGATCTGGAAATGCCGTAAGAGTTTAGTTTTAACGGTAGTTTGTCATGTACCACTGAATCAAAGGCTTTGCAGAAGTCTATGTAAATTGTGTCTATAGCTTTACCCTGAACAAATAGAGTAGTCCATATGTTTTTGCAATGTGGGAGTTGAAGATTTCTTGAACAGCAGATTTTTCTAATGCCAAAGAAATCTAAAACATTTATTACACGCGCTCTCTTTCTCTTTCAGCAAATGGTCATAGAGACCAAAATATTTTTGATTTTATACCTCCAAGGTAAGATCTCTGATTCTGTATTTTTACAAACTACATACTCATAGAAACTGAAATGGAGGGGACATTGTAGAAAGGAATCTATTCCCAACTGTGCCCATTTTTATCAGTATTTACTAGTTATATCTTGTGATTTTTTAGTTTCCAGAATGTTAGGTATGGAAATACTCTGGATTGTTGTACATCTTTAAGGTTGTTACAGCATGGGTTTTTCAGATCATATCCCTGGATTTGGACATAGTCTTACTCATCCATTATTCTACTTATAGTGAATTCAATAATGTAGCTGTTAGTGAAGCGCCAAGGGCTTGTCTATATGAATTGTGACCTGTTCTGTCACACTATCAGTCATTTTGATAGGTTGCCAAGGACTCCACAAATCTCCTATAGAACTGCAGCCTTCCTTTCAACCTTGAGAATGTCCAGATAGGTGGTCACAATAATCTAAGGAGGCATCTTCTCCTACTTCCAGGATTGCAAAGAAATCTTCCTAAATTCATACTAGATTGCCAACTTAGCCAACATAGTGGTAAAACAACAACAGTTCTTTACTCCTTTAGAATAAGAAAATAAAAAGGTTTCCTTACCCACAATGCAATTGCAAGGCGGAATACGAAAAAGTCAAACGAAAAAGTTATCTATCTTCTTTGATCAACTGAATGGCCTGATCGCCAAACCACCAAGATTAAATCCTGCCATTGACAATAATTGGCTTAGATACCAAAGCCAGCCAAAATCATCAACCCTAACTGTTAAAAATAAAACAAGTAAACAAGTGGCTTAATTAAATATTTGTAATTTACCTTTTTGTAGAAATGTAAGAACAAAGAGAAGAATAAGGGCACTTAACATTTTAAAAAAGTAAGGAGAGGGATATGTTAATACATGCAACTGAACTTTCAATATTTTGTATTGACACACAGTATACACATAGCCTCTCATCACACTCACTTTGTCAGCTCACTGGTCAGTGGATGGTCAGGATGCTTTCTATTTCAGGGTGGGGGGAGCTTTTCTCCCCAATACAACAATGCAGTTAGGCAGCCAACCATAAAGTTGGGGTGACTGCACTACTATCTGTAACAGGACACAGGGCCAGCTGTAAAGGGCTATACATAAGCCATCAATCATATATTGGAAAGACTCAGTGCTAGGTGCAAGCAACCAGATCCACACATGTAGAATACAAGCTAACCATTTTATTGTATTCTGCCTGTAATACAGGAATCTCTCCAGACTATTTGCCTTCTCTTGGGAACAGATAGTTAAGTTTCTGTGGAGTTTAGTAGTTGTGGATCTCTTGCGGCTGTGCAACAATTCAAGGCTAATTCCCTGCTTGAGTCATCTTTCCTGCCTGCCTGGGCATTTCCCAACACACAGTTCCACTATACCAAGATATTTTTTTTTTTTAAGAATGGAGAAATATTCACAGGGGATTCTTCCTTCTCTGGATATCAAGCAGAGAGACTGCATGAGATGCCCATCAAAATGCCCTCTAGTTATGCTTCTTCCTTATCTTTATAACATTAATGTATTCCTGTAGCAATGCTGTGCAACCCTGTCTGGAAGGATAACGTAAGAACAGTAATGCAAAGCTTTGAAGCCACCTCTGGAAGCTCATTCACAAAGCAAAATGAAACCGTTGTATTGCTTCCAAAGCCTCCCCTTTTATCTGCCTAATGTATGGGACGGAGGAAGCTGTCAGGGACAAACAAAGCCCCCTCAGTAAGAATAACATCACCTTGGGGTCCCAGCAGCATGAGTGACACGGACTCAATCCAGCCTCAAACAACAGCATCGCTTCTGTGCCTTGCTGAGCCCAACATCGCCTCCCCAATGTGAAGAGCCCCACTGAGACGAACAAAGCCCGCTTTGTACAAAATTAATTATTGCACATCATTTGAAGTTGAAACAGCAGGCGGTGCTATCAAAAAGCAGTATTTAGCCCTTTGATACATTTGAGAAGAGGAACAGCGTTACTCTCATTTTCTCTTCCAAACAGCACACATTGGAAATTTTAAGATTTTTTTTTTAAAAAATTGAAATAAAAAAAAAAATCATTTGACTCTTACAGATAGGACGTTACCTAAGCTATGAATCTGGTGAACATAATACTGAAAGAACCATGCATGAACTCAAAGCAAGATCAAAGATTCTGTGGATGGCATAAGCAAGCGAAGAGGCAAACCCTGGAGGAGAGAAATAAACAGCCACCATCTGGAACACCTGCACACGTAAAACCGATTTAAACTGTTCCAAAGTCAACATGACTGACACCTCTGTAATGATATAGGCCGTTTATTCACCAGTGACTTATATTATTATTTGACCACTGCTGCAGCTGTCAAACAAAAATGAAAGCAGATTTCACCCTGTTGCAGTGGTGACCAAGCAAAGGTTGTGGGAAATCTACAAGTTGAAGTCATCTGAGAAGGCCAACAACCTAAACCCAATTGCCGGATTTACTTACAGTGATGTATGTTGCTGCATATATACTCAGAGCTGCTTCTTTGGAAGGAAAAGTTTTTCGGGCTTTCATGACAAGATCAGGATTTCCAGAGCAAGACTCTGCACCACTGACAAACTGTGTAAACTGCTGACATCCCAGAGCTGTGTAGTTGGGTTTGCAAAGTGCAAGGAAATGAGGTGCAAGATTCCCAGTTACTACTTGTCCAGCATTTACAAATATGTCTGTTGCAAAAAGTCCAAATGCATAAATGCCTAAAGAAAGGGAAGGAAAAGAAATGACTAAGTTGCTATTACAGTAGCACAATAAAATGAATAATCTGATTAATAATAAAGTTGATTAAATAATTAATCAAATTAAATAATCTTATTAAATAAATATTTTGCATGTAAGCTTGGTGAAAGACACACTGCTAAGAGAAAATGAAAACAATATAGAACCTTGTTCTGTTTTTGTACACACCAGTGCAGACATGCTAACTGTAATCTTGATTTATTTTTAGGTGTGCTATGTTTGTAACAGGTAGAATCATTGCTCCTCTCTCTATGTGTGCTAGTTAATATTGGTGCTGGAGGGCCTATTTTTTACTGGTAAGTTTTTGATCCTATGAACTGTGTGTACCTCTCCTGGGCCATCAAGAACTTGATAGATTATTAGTTCTCTGAATTGCATCTAGAATCTTAATGATAAGTCAATTCAGCTCATGATAATGAAATGCTCTATTGGCATAGTGTGACATGCATGCTCATAATTCCCTTAGCAACCGCATTCTGGATCAATTGCAGCTTCTAAGTGGTCTTCATCGCTACAGTCCACACGTGAGGTCACCAAGTGTGTGTGATTGTCCTGGTCCAGATATGGGTGCAATTGGTGTGCTGGATGAATTTGTAAGAGTTTTATTGCTACATATCTTTTAAGCAGGAGCTGTGAGTTCAAAAAGACACCCCAAATGGTGCATCAGTCCTAAAGGGGGAAGTGTAATCTCAACCCATGGAACTGTTTAGTCCTCTTCCCATGTGATCCAAGCTCCCATAACTACTCAAGCTTGCCACAGCCGAGCTTGCATCTGTCCTTCTTTATCCACCCCTGCACAGCTTACAAATACTGGGACAAGACCTTGACAGAAATTGTGTGCCTGCTCGCACGCGTGCACTCACATGCCAGTACCCAGAAAGCAATGCATGGACACACACCCCCACACCCCCTGCACATGCACGTGCAATCCCCGCCATCGCCCCCTTACCTACACTGTGCCTTCCAGCTGATTTTCAGCCCATTTAAGGCCTTTTTTGGCCTCCCAGACGTTTGAGGACAGTTTCTGCAGTCTTTGCAGGCTGAAAAATAGGCCCATTTCGTCACTTCTGGTATTACAGGAAGTGATGAAATGGGCCTATTTTTCAGCCTGCAAAGGCTGTAGAAGCTTTCCTCAAGCCTCTGGGAGGCCAAAAAAAGGCCTCAAACAGGCTGAAAATCAGCTGTGAGGTACGCGCATGCGCAGTGAGGTAAGTTTGCCTCTAGCTCGCGTGCCGGCACAAATGGCTTTGTATGCCACCTGTGGCATGCGTGCCATAGGTTCACCATCACGGCACTATACCATCCCAGTTCCACCAGAGGTCGGTAGCAAATATAGCCAAAGTCTTTTCAATTCTGTATTCTGGTTTGAAACCTGATTGGAAAGAGTCTAGAAAGCTTGTCTCCTCTAGAGCTTTCTGTTGCTGCAGCCAGGCCACCTTCTCAACAATGTTCCCCCAAAAGGGGAAAAGATAGAGACATGGTGAAAATGGCCAGGCCTGTCAAATCCAGCAATCTCTAATTTTAATAAAGTAAGAGAATCTATGGACTAATTGCGAACCTTAGCTGTCCCCTTGCTTGCATTTTCCCTGGCAACAGTAAGTAAAATATCAGTCATTTCTAACATATTTAACCATTGTGCTGTAAATGCAATCCAAACTCACTTTTACTTCAACTGTGGTCATGTCATTTTATGCAAGCTAGGATCTCTGCTCTACAGACCACCTTGCTAATCCACACATTGCTCCTTGCATCTCAAGCCATACAGAAGTACAGTAAATGCAATGAACTGATACAAACTGAGAATGTTGGTTTTTCAAGGGCATTATGGCTTGAATCTTATTGAACAGAGCAAGAGTTCTCAAGAGCAGAGTTTATTATTAAAGGAGTGATGAGAGTTAAGGTTACAGTTGTATAAGGTTATAGTTGTATGCATATACCTCAAGAACCCAGAGACAATTCAATTGAGCAAGAGGCTTACATAATTGATTTACACATCCTAATGCATGAAGATTAGAAAATAACACCCAATATTCTTACCAAGGAACCTGACAGTCCTGCGCACCAGTGGGTTTATATAGCAACAGTCTCCAGTTAATATTGTTTTTTCTTGGTTTTCAAAATCCCGTGTGGCCATCTGTAAGCAAAACACTGCAGTTTCTCCAACAATAATCTGAAAACAATAAAAAGAAAAGGAACAATTAGATTCCACAAATACAAAGTGATACTACACTAAAGATACATTTAAATCCATCCACAGGGGTAAAATCCCATAAAGTTCATTTCATTTGCGAAAAAAAAAAAAAAAAAAAAAAAAAGCAAGACTAAAGCCTAACAATACCTTTAAAAGGGGCTATGCACAAAACACAGGCAAACTCTAATAATGAGGTACTGGATTGTAAATTACTTTCTGAGCCCTTCTTTCTTCAAATGGAGTTTTATGGAATCCTAGCATTTCATGATAGATTCTGATTGGGAAAAAAAAAGTCTGAACTTTGCACATTGCATAATGCCAGTACTTGTAGTGATGAAATTTTATATAAACTATAACTCACCTGCTGGCCAATTATTGCTTTGCTGTTGTAAACCATGTAACAAGGATTTTGTAGGTTAGAAATGAATTATATAGATAATCCTTACTTAGTGACTGCAATATTCAATGAGCATTTTAAATTACGACTGTGCTAAAAAAGTAACTTTACAACCAATGGCTACATTTACAACTTTGTAGCATCCCTCACTCACACAATTGCCTTTCTAGTCAGTACCGGTTCTCCTACTATCCCTGTCATGTTACTTTTCTTTTTTGTGCCCCCTTGCATAGTGGAGAAATATGAGAGAAAGGGATTATAAGAGAGTAAGCAGGCACACAATGGAGAATACACATTGGAAGGAATGCAATGGCACCAGCAGCCCCCCCCCCCCCTTTGGATTGATAGACTCAAGTGCAGGATACAGCCAGCCTGGTGTATTCCCCATTGTGTGCTTGTTTATTGTCTTGCAATCCTAAACTCCCCAATTAATGTAAATACAAAGATTAATTCCCTTCTTGCTAATTATCTCATCACGGGAGTAGCCAATCCAAAGGGCATGAGAGTGGGAAAAAGGAAAGCATGGCTATGGTCATGTGATTCCCCCACTTAGTGATTGTTTCCATTAGTCAATTATGATTCCATATATCTCAATTATGATTGCTAAATGAGGACTGCTTGTAATTTGTCATGCCCCTGGTTGATCAGTGATCCTCAGAAGATGGAGGACCAAAGGAAGAAAAATGGGAGAAAAAATGTGCAATACTTCAATTCCATTGAGGTGTTTTAGAACAAGGTGGTGCAGATTAGCAGCTGCATCTTTTCCTTGGGTTACTCAGCTGTTGTTGGAAGGTTTCTGCTGCAGCTAATTGATTGTAGAAGAAGATGCAGCTGCTTCAGTCAGTCACTGCCAGATCTGTTTTCATGCTTGTGTGTATTTTGGAGCATCGATTTTTTTGGTCAAAATGGGGATAGCAACAATGCTGAGAGGGCATCAGACAGCACCACCCACAACTTTAGCCTCCATGGCTCAAGCCACAGTCTAATTGTCCTGTCCACAGGAATCCCTGTCTTCATGTGAAGAGTTAAATAGAAGGAAAGCAGAGGGATGTTCAGCTGCACAGAGGAGCAAGTGGCATAAGCATGTCTACTTAGGGCAGGGCTGTCACACTGGTGGCCCGCGGGCCAGATGCACCACACGCTGGCCACACCCAGTTTAGCAAAGGGAAAAAAAAGTCATGATACATCATGTGACGCCCCCCGTGACGGCGCAAATTCGACACCTCTGACTTAGGGGCAATGTAGTGCTGAAACCCAGGAATGATTAATGGCAACTATGCTCGGGCAGGAATTCCAAGCCTCCTCTATTTAAGATCGCCAGGTGAAGGTAGCTTAGTGCCAAAACAACAACCCGCCTTGCACTTTCCTTTGAACTCTTTAGTAGCTGGTCCTTGGTTATCTAGTCTAGCTATGAAACGTCTTTGAATCCTTACCCCTACCTTGCGTCATGAACTCCAGTTATAATAAGCACACACTTCCCCTTGAACTCAAACTATATTTACATTTATGCCCATGCCTGCTGGGTTTAGGAGTCTCAAACTGTTAAACAACCAACTCCAGCTGGGATGAGGGAGAAGATTCAGTAAGTACTTTCTTGCTTTCGGTAAGGATGAGGAGCAACACCAAGAAAGCCTACATAACTTCTGGTGGAGGGGATCAAGAATTTTATAAATAAGGGCATGTAAAGAAAACAAAGGTAGCTTCCATAAGCTATAGAAAAATAATCAAGAATTGTATATGAGGGCAATACCTTTCTTACATACAAGCTTCAAGTTCTCCAAGAATTCCAGAGTTCTTCAGGAGGGAAGATGGTAAACAGAGCTAATAAACAAAATAGTAAACAAATGGACAGACAGAGGGAAAGAGCAACCACCACCGAAGCCATCAAGTCTTCATGTAATTATGCTCTTAAACATTAATGTGGAAAAATATCATTAGATTCCACTTGATGGTGAGATCATTTCTGAATGTCACCGGTATCTATCCCTGTTTTAAAGTGAAGAGGATGAACCCCCCAAAAAAACCTAGGTGGGAGTAGAGAAAAGACTGTGGATTAAACTGTCTTGGCTACTGGCACTTTACAAATGTCATGGCAGGCTGGAGATGTTGGCACAGAGTACAATTAATTAAAACATCGTTCACCATGGATCTGTTACAGAAGAGGGTATCATTAGCAAAACATTATATGGGGGCCTCCATAACCATTGCACCAATATCGCTGAGGAAAGTAATGGTAGCTGGTATTGTTAACTAGTGCTAGAAAACTACTGGAATAAAAGAAGAAAGAAACAACATTCCCCTATTTTTGTAACCATGTAATTAATCTGTTTCTTAGAACTCTATCCATCACACGCCAGTGTAATTACGGTATGTTTTAGACCCTCAGATATTGGTAGAGAAATTTGAGAACTGTAGTTAGATCTAGTAGTTTTAAGATTTTTTTTTATAGTATGTTAGTATAATGGGAATAATGCAACATTGAACATGATTAAAATAGAAGAATGTGGCAATAAAACTTAATAGAGTAATACAGGCAAATGAATAAAAGCAATAAAATATTATCACACTGTATTTACAAGTGAAAGCTTTAAAAAAAACTAGCAGCTTAAAGAAATCTATAAAAGAAATTATTCTGAGGATACAGATAGTGGCAGTAATTTTTCAACCAGGTGCCCTCTAGATAGATTGGCAGCAGTGGTGGGAATATGCAAGTTATAATCCAACAGATTCAGAAGGAATCTCTTTCTGGAATGTTAGGTCTACGGGCTGCATGTAGCCTATGCGGCCCACTGATTTTTTTTAAAAAAAGTAATAAGTTCACCACCCCTCCAAAAGACATGCTACCCTGTGGCCCCAAGCTGCATAATGATCACCAGCTCCAATGCTGCCTTTTCTCCACTAGTCAAAGAACAGCTGATCAGCATATTGTTTTTCAGCCTGCGAGGATTTTTAATTTATCAATATGACTCCTTTGCAGGCCTAGTCTAGAGCAGGGGTCTCCAACCTTGGCAACTTTTAAGACTTGTGGACTTCAACTCCCAGAATTCCTCAGACAGCTTTGCTGTCTGAGGAATT